GAGTACACCACAGGCATTACAGGGAGACTCCTAATCCTTTTAAATTGCAGCCACATGTGACAGATAGGATTGGAAAAGGTGTTAAAAATGCATGGGACACGGCCGAGAACAGATTCCACAAGTATCAGTGTTGTACGATGTCGAGGAGGGGCCAGAGAAATTTGACTTTTATAGACAATTCGAAGGAAAAAGGACAGCAAATTCTATCACTGCTGTAAGCAGTTAAAGTCAATGTTTTGCAAAGAACAGTAATTAAATTTACACTGATAAATTAAATCCGCGTGTCCCGACTGCAAATAATTCATTGTTGAATCTCCAGTGATTTCCCTTCATATACTTTGTATGTCTCGTTGTTTATTGAATACAGTAATGTCTTCTGAACACAATACTGAGTGCCAGACTGCGTTAGGTGTTCCAGTCCTCCCCACAGCCCTGTTTACAGATGAGGAATCTGAAGGTCAGAGAGTTATGGGACTTGCTCAGGGTCACAGAGATAGCAAGTGACTAAAATCAGATCCGTCAGACTCCAAAACTTACGGTCTTTCCATTTTGTCTTCTGTCACGTTAATAATAGGTATATAGACTATACACGGTTAGATCCAGGCAGTCAAGTTGTCTAGTCCCAGTCCAGCTGTGCTCCTTATCTAGGTGACCTTGCGCCAATCAGGTAATCTCAGTGAGTCTCAGTTTACTCATCTGCAAGATGGCAAGAATAATAGTACCTCCCTTATAAGGTTATTGTGAGTCAAATAATTCATATAAATAACCCATGAAAACAACTTAGCATGGGAGGTGCCCAATAAATTATGGTTATTTTTATTGTCATTTATATAATACCACCATCACTTCCTGCCTACTCTTTGCCAGATAACTATGTTAAGCTCAGCATTTTGTGTATATCACGTTTGCAATAGCTCTGCAAGGCAGATCCCAGATCCCCATTTGCACAAAGGAGACAGACTTGGAAGGATTAATTACCTTGCCCAAGATCACTGAGTCAGTAGGTAGCAAAGTCAGGATTTGAACCCAAGTCTGTAGCTTTGCAGCCTGTTTGCTTTCCACCTGTACGAGGACTTTAAACCCCTTTCCTGTATTTTATGTGATGGCAGGGCAGCGATGCCGGTATCAGTGATGGTGAGGTCAGTGCTGCTGTGGGTGTTGCCTGCTGAGTGAGCAGCAGAAATGGGACTCAGCCTGGGTCCATCTGACTGCAGAGGCCAAATCGCCCCTGACCACTGTCCCACACAGCCTACAGGGAAACAGTAGCCTGGTGTTGGTGTGCTCATTCCACTTACAAGAAGCTTGAAATTGGGGATACTTGGAAAGTTTACCCGGAATTATATTTTTATTTTACAGTTTTCTCCAATTGCTTCCTGAAGGCTTACACTCTTCCTAACTTCATATCTCTAGGGCATCCCTGATTAAGTCAGAATTAGTTTGTAAGTTTGGACAGCATTAAACAGGGCACTTGGGGCAGAGAATAAATCTCTCCCTTTTGTGTTAATCTAGAAAGTCTCTGTGAAATGAGTAGATTGTTCCAGCCACAGGGTAGAGCTCCATAAATCCATTGCTCGTAGGTTACGTGAGCTCATGCTTCCCTCATTCAGCTGGGTCATTCGTACAGTGGTTCTTCGCAGCAGGCTGAAGAAAACTTCATTTGATTACTTCGAAATCATCTCTTCCAAGTGAAAGAGGATTGGAATAACCAACAAAATTAATCTGTGAATAATTCAGATTCTTATCAGAATTCAACGCAAGCTTTCAGCACAGAGGCCCGGCTAGAAGGTGGCCAGACAATCAACAGCCTTGAAACAACTTACATGTGTTCAAGTTTCAGAGTTAAAATAAACAACAGTGACATGGGGAATGGTTTCCCAGGCTCCTTAGTGAAAGTTTGTGTCATCTGCTCTGACTTGATCTCATTTACAAAGGTGCTCCTCTGACTTGATCTCATTTACAAAGGTGCTCCTCTGACTTGATCTCATTCGCAGAGCTGCTCTTCTTGCACCTTGGAAAAACATGCATAACAGTGACGAGCGTCTGGCACTTCATGCTTTGCGGTATGCTTCCCTGCACATTGTTGCACGTGACCCTGAGAAACGGAGCTCTTGAGAAGCCTGGGCCTGACTCACAGGGAGACCCAGAGAACTGGCTTTCGGGTCTATAGCTCTCACCCACGGTGACAGTCTTCTAGAGCCGATCCTACGATGCTTGAATGACTTTTCTTCCAGAGGAAACAGCTGATGAGCAGAGGGAAATTCTCTCTCACATGTTCCCATGTCTCTTCCTGCTCTGCTGTATACAAATATTGTTTTGGAAGCAATTTCTCACGCATCTGTCTACATCCGTGATCCTTCCTCACGAGCTTACTGTTCTTTGTTTCTCCAGCATGGACTACTGTTCTTAGGAGAAAGTAAATGCTCACGTGTTTGGTGACAGTTGAAATGTATGTGCGTGATCTTTGCTCCCATTGTAGTTGGGCGAGGACTTCCTTGTCAGTAACTCATTAGAAAGAGAGATAACGTGGAGGCCAGGGGTAAAGGGTGTTGGGGGGAATATGAGAACCAGGCCCATCACTGCCTCTGAATCATTTTTAAGTGTTCTTAGCCAGGGATTGCTGGAGGTGCCGAACTTGAGGCCAGCAGAAGAAGGGTGCTAGGAGACAACATTACTCACCGAAATCCATCCTGTGGGTTTGGGCACCAGCTCTTACAGTGAAGATTGGCGGGAGAAGATGAGCTGAATGAATGGCTGCTGTGGGCCTGGGGCTTCACGCCTGGTCCCTCTCCTGCTTAGCTGGATGGTAGGGCAGGAAATTGCCCAGTGTGAGATGCCATCCAGCTGACTGTGTGAGTTGACCTACAGCTTAGAGATAAGTCGCGTAAAGCACCTACCATGGTGCCTTGCAGGTGCAAACGCTCACACATAGGAGCCATTTAGAAAATGTCAATGGGCCAGGGTGCTGTGGCTCACGTCTGTAATCTCAACACTCGGTGAGGCTGAGATGGGGGCATTGCTTGAGGCCAGAAGTTCAAGACCAGCCTGGCAACATAGGGAGACTCCATATCTGCAAAAAAAAATTTAAAAATCCTACATACTTGGAAGGCTGAGGCCAGGAGGGTCACTTGAGCACAGAAGTTCAAGGACGTAGTGCAGCACTGCACCCCAGTCTGGGCAACAGTGTGAGACCCTGTCTCGAAAAGAAAAAAAAAAAAGTCTACGATAATGGACCGTAGTGAGGTTGTCACCTAGAAGGGACCCAGTAAAGTGGGGACAAAGCTGCTCAGAGGTTGCAGTCCTTGTTCTCAATCACATCCGTAACCTTTCTCTTTTCTGCCTGTTGTAGAGACTCAAAAAGAGACTAGAGTTGTACAGCCCTGGTAAACGCGTGGTTAGGGGTTCCAGAGGTTTTGGAAGCTATTAGTTTTTTCTTGCCCTTAAGTCTCCTTTTCTTCTTATTCCCTCGCCCCAATTGAACTCAGCTAACATGCAGTGATTCAGTTTATCTTGTTGAAAATGTTCAGTCCCCTACGGAAAATATGATAATGCCGTTTCCAGGACAGCTGTGCTTAGGAGCGAGACTGACTTCACCAGCTGGCTGGCATCATTGGAGCCCGAGGACCTGCCAACCCATGGAGAGCAGCTGTTTGGGCTGAAATTCTTTTAATTCTTATGACTTTGCTTCCTACATACCAGCTTTTGAGTTCTGCTCTTAGATGTACACATAAAAGGATAGACGACAATGAGAAAAGTCCTGATGTGTCCATAGGTGAAGGTGGCCCTAGACATATCAGAGGCTTTTAGGAAAGAGAAAATCCAGAAGGAGGCCAACTTCAAAGAGTAAGAGATGATAATGAATGTATCCATAAATTTTTATTTCTCAGTACAGTGGCAGTACTGTATGCAGCCATTAAGAATCATATTTGAATTTTTTTTTTTTTTTTTTTTTGAGACAGAGTCTCGCTTTGTTGTCTAGGCTGGAGTGAGTGCCGTGGCGTCAGCCTAGCTCACAGCAACCTCAAACTCCTGGGCTCGAGCGATCCTTCTGCCTCAGCCTCCCGAGTAGCTGGGACTACAGGCATGCGCCACCATGCCCGGCTAATTTTTTTATATACATATCAGTTGGCCAATTAATTTCTTTCTATTTATTGTAGAGACAGAGTCTCACTTTGTTGCCCAGGCTGGTTTCGAATTCCTGACCTCGAGCAATCCGCCCGCCTCGGCCTCCCAGAGAGCTAGGATTACAGGCGTGAGCCACCGCGCCCGGCCTGAATTTTTTTTAATGAATGGGGAAATGCCATAATATGATGTTAGACAAAATGTATACGATAAAAATCTGCATAGAGAATAAAATTTCAATTATGGAATAGCGAGTTTTAACATTATATGCCGTAATTCATACAAAGCGTTTAACCTTGAGCCTGGTGTGGCAAGAACTCAGGAGATCGTAGGTATTGGAATGCAAACTCTCTAAGGGCAGGGACATGTTTGTGGCCTTCACTGTTAGACCCTGAGTGCCTAGTGCAAAGCAGACACTCCGAAGGTCTTTGTTGATTGAAGGAATGAGCGTTATTGTTGTATGCATTTTAAAAGGAATGGGGGGGAGGGGAAGCCTGCATTGTCATCTGTAACACACCTTGTATCTATGATTGTGGCAACGTTAACCTCTCTGTGCCTCAGTTCTTCGTTATAAAATGCTGAGGGTATCACCTGTTGCTCAGGGAGGCTGAGAACTGGGAGCAAAGTCTGCAGTCAGGGGTGGCTGCTGTAATCGTAGGAATCGCCATGTCATTGTTAGCGTCATAATTGTTAAAGTCCACCATACTTTTATCTGTAGAAAAAAAAGAATTGTCATGATTTTTGTCTGTCATTTCCTTGTCATTTTTTACCATGGACTTTTAAAAAAAAGTCATAGTAAACCGGTCTCTCACCGGTTGCGGCCTGTGCTTTCCTCCCCATTCACAGACGTGAGTAACCTTGTCTCGAAATTCTGTCTGCAGATTTTTAACACCGTGCCTGATGCGCCTCTCACCAACGCCCAGCTGCACCTGTCTCGGAAGAAGAGCAGCGACTCCAAGCCCCCGTCCTGCAGCGAGAGACCCCTGACGCTGTTCCACGCTGTGCAGTCCACAGAGAAACGTGAGTCCCCGCTGCGTGCCGTTCGGGGACATCCTGTGCCACCTGCCACTGCTCGGGTGGACACCTCTGGCCTCTGCGTGCTGCTGGCCTTCCTCGTCCTTGAAGACTGTATCATGGAGCCCTCCCAGGGTCCTTTGCCGAGTAACCCCCATAGGACAGGAATTCATATCGCTGAGAATGGAAGGCAGCGGCTGCCCCGGGGGACTGTCTTTCCAGATCTCCCGCGGGCAGACAGCTGAGCCAGCCGCCTTTCCTTCTCCTGGGCTCGGGCATCGCTTCTTCCGCCCCCGTTTGTTAGCAACTCCCATAAAACCGGGGTCCCTTCCTTTTCCCGTCTGTAATGACATGCGTGTCAGCGTGAGTCTCGTGCCCTGCTAGACTGTGGCGCTGTGAGGGCGCAGCCGTGGAGGGCTCCACTAGTCCTCTGCCTGGCAGTGCCCGGCATGGAGTCGACACCTAAAAACATGTGAAATCGACTGATGAATTAGAGAGCAACACCTTCCGTGTTCCAAATAGCAGAGTGTTATCACCACGATTGTATCAGACCTGTTTTTCATCTCAGGTTTTCCGACTTCTTCGCAGTGATCAGGTGCTGGTCCCTAAAACATAGGCTCGTTTTAGCCTCCATGATAAGGTCATGTGGTATAGCCCGGGAGTGGAGGCCTCAGGCTCTGCCTGAAGTCAGCCCGTCGTGGGTTCTTGTAGCAGCGCCACAATCTGGGCAGGCCTTTACCTCTCCCAGCCTCGGTTTGCTCATCTGTAAAATAGGGACAAGAGTGGCCCACCTCATAGGGAAGTTGCGAGAATTCAATGAAATGATGCGTTTCGGCATCTGGCACAAGGCCCAGAAGGTGGCAAGGGCCAATAACTCAGAGCTGCTGCCAGTACTGAGCTGGTTTGATCCCAGGCGGATCCCAAGGCTGGTCTATCCACACAGCCGATGTTTACGTGGCGCCTGCCAGGGACTGGGGACGTGAAGTGGGGCCTCGCCTTTAAGGAGCTCAGCACCAAGTGAGTGAGCGCCATCGCTGCTCCCGTAGAGACAGGCGTTGTCAGGAGAGCCCGCGGAGGGCAGTGGGCAAAAGCGCACACTCTGGGGCCAGATCGCCCGGGCGCCAACCCTGCCTCAGTTGCTCACCAGCTGTGCCATGGGAAGTTATTTAACATCTCAGGGACCCCAGTTTCCTCTTCTGGAAAATAGGGACGATGCTTTCTACTACATAGGGCTGTTGTGAGGATTCAGGTTCTGCACACAGTGTCAGGTGCAGCATGATGTTCAGGAACTGCGGGGTGGTGTAATGGTAGCATCATCATCATCATCACTAGTCTCTACCAGGTACAGTAAAGGCGCGGAGCAGGACAGTGACCTGCTCTGCCTAGAAAAGGAGAGGCTTCATGTCTGGATTAGCATTTTCCTTTTTCTTTGTTGCAAAGAAAAAAAAAGGTGGTTTTATTATTATTTTTTTTAATCCTCTTATATTTTGAAAGAAACGGCCTTCCTTGTCATAACTCCTGAAAACAAACCTTCCCCGTCCCTAAAACAGCATTGCACTTAAAGATGCCGTAGAATTCCATGATATGGCTGCACCTTGGTACGTTTAGCATCATTTGGGCTGGTTCAGATATTTTGCCTTTATACATAAAGCTACTGTTAACACAGTGATAGCTGAATCTCTCCTGTTCATGTTCATTTCTTTATGGTAAATGCCTAGAGGGATTTCAAAGCCAGCAGACAGTCACGGTTTCAGGGCTTTGACCTTATACTGGAGTCTGGAGTTGGCTTTCCTTCTCACGATAGCCCGTGTTCCTCTTCAGTATCTGCCGGGTTCCTTCTCACCACAGTCTGCACGTGGGCTGGACCCCTCCAGTTGTGCCAGGGAACGCTTGGAACAGGACTGGCCTCGCTCACACCTGCCTAATAAACGGGGCTTCGGGCGAGGGGGTGATGTGCTTCTCAGGTTTCCAGGAGAGCCACGGTCATCCAGTGTTTTGTACTAAGCAACACACAGTACAGCAGCTTAGGAGAGGCCAGACAGTACTGGTGAATTCTCCTAAGCTTAAAATAGTGCTGGGTTTGCGGTTAGACCGAAGCAGAAGCAACTTTGGAGTAGGTCTTGAAGCACACCCTGGGAACACACGAGAACGAAGATGGAGATGAGGAGAAAATCAGCTAGATCTTTGCCTGAGATTAATTTGATCTCACGAGGCACAGGATGAAAGTCAAGGATGTGTGAAAGCAGCCCTGGCTCGGCTGCAGAACAAGCTGTCATGTCCCTGTCTGCGGGCAGTGGACAGAGGGTGCAAAACGGGAAGACAGCGAACAATAGAACTTTCCTGGCCGGGCGCGGTGGCTCACGCCTGTAGTCCTAGCACTTTGGGAGGCCAAGGCCGGCAGATTGCTGGAGGTCGGGAGTTCGAAACCAGCTCGAGCAAGAGCAAGACCCCGTCTCTACTAAAAATAGAAAGAAATTAATTGGCCAACTAATATATATAGAAAAAATTAGCCGGGCATGGTGTTACATGCCTGTAGTCCCGGCTACTCGGGAGGCTGAGGCAGCAGGACTGCTTGAGCCCAGGAGTTTGAGGTTGCTGTGAGCTAGGCTGACGCCACGGCACTCACTCTAGCCTGGGCAACAAAGGGAGACTCTGTCTCAAAAAAAAAAAAAAAAAAAGAACTTTCCTTCTCCCGTTAAGACTGGAGCATGTGGGGGTGCTCAGAGACTTGTTAGGGGCTTAGCTTCCCCCCTTTCTTGGCAAACATTTTAACTGAAAAGTCTCTGTGTATATTAGTTTGTTTGGGAAATAATTTTTCTTCTGGGAAACTAGAACGTTATCGAAGCTGGCATGGAAAGAACCATAGGGGGGTGGGAGGATTGGATGCCGTGAAGAAGCCTGGGCCAGAAACTGGAAGGTTCTGCCGGTACTACCTCCACCCGGGTTGTCATCCAGCCACACATTGCAGTTAGATGACAGGTGACCATGCACACATAGTTCACCCTGCCCTATATCTGGTCTGTGGACAAAGACAGGAAACTCTACCTCTGCCAAAGTACTTTGCTGACTTTACTCTTTGGAGTTAAATGTATAGGTAGCAATGATGCAAGTAATTTGTGAAAAGATTGTGTATTTCCATATAATGATGTTCTTCAGTTCAAGGCCTCTTTACATGCATGGCTCAGAGCTTCCCAAACTTGAGTCATGTCCATACACCTTCACTTGCTATCTTGGCCACTGCCCTGGAACTGTTTAATACAGGGGTTTCTGTGTTTTGTTTTTTTTAAGATAGGGTCTTGCTCTGTCTCCGGGGCTGGAGCGCATTGCCATCAGCATAGCTCACTGCAACTTCAAACTCCTGGGCTCAAGTGATCCTCCTGCCTCAACTTCCTGAGTAGCTGGAACTACAGGCATATGCCACCACACCTGGCTAATTTTCTGTTTTTTGCAAAGACGGGATCTTGCTCTTGCTTAGACTGGTCTCAAACTCTTGGATTCAAGCAATCTTCCTGCTTCTGCCTCCCAGAATGTTAGGATCACAGGCATGAGCCACCACCTAGCCCAGCCTTAATACATTTCTTTAAGTTGATCTTAAAGCAACTCACTTCCTTACCTGGCATCATCCCAATACAGAAAATCTTGAAAAACATGAATTTGATGGTATCACTGTATTATTCCCTAATATACATGAAAATAGGTATGTAAGATTAAAACTGTTCATCCGCATCCCACTTTAGTATTATCTCGTGTGGCCCCTGTGGAGTGTGCCACAGTTTGGACAGACCTCTCTTTTAACTTTGACTGACTTCACGCTTTCCTCCTGAAATACACAAATTCAAGTTCCCTTTGTCCACCGAACTAGAACTGGGTTCGGATGTCGTCAGTCGTCTGTTTATATTGCTATGGACACTCACTGCTCATCTGTCAACTTCACACTGTCTCTGTCAACTCAAGCCTCTGTCAACTTCATGCTATACCCTTTCAGTACATTGTGATACCCGTCCAGGTTTGATGTGACCTTACCTTTCTCCAGGTTCTTGCCACAGAGCAGATACCTGTTAGAGGGATGGCACCATGCAGGCACAAATACACAAACACCTCTCCTCTACCATCAGACTCACCTCATACTGTTCAGAGCCCCATTTCTTCTTGTATGTCTGTCTGCCTGATCTCTTTTGAGTTCAGTTATTCTCCTGCTCTCCTCATTGAGGTACCTGCAGGTTAATGTTTTCTCAGCATGCCATCAGGCAGCCCTCTCTTGAGTCCACATTTGAGATGCCTAGTGGGGCCGAAGTTTGCAGAGTAGCTCGCTTGGGTGCTTTCCTTCGAGAGCTTCTAGTTGTTCATTGTGAGCATTCATTTCCTCCCCACCTCTCTGCAGGGCCCCTACGAGGAGCAGAAGTGGGAGCCCATTCTTTTCTCTGAGAGGTGAATCCTGGCCTCAGCTTGTCATTTGTCTCCTCCTTCCTGGAGAGGAAGCTCCTGAGGGTCACCTTGGGATCTCCATAGGCTCAGGCCTCTGTCTTAGCACCTGCTCCTGAGGCTCATGGAAATATCTAGCATGTTAGATGATGCTCATAGGTGCATGTCTTATTTTCAAGGAGTTTTTCCTTCCATGTAGGTAGAGCAGTTGTATGCCCACATACCTGCATGTGACTGTCTCACTGTAATCTGTGGGTATTAGCAGAGTCCTCTCTGCGTGCCTTTTTTTTTTTTTTCCTGTGAAGATAAAGCTGTATTTCTGATGCCAGTGGTCTCTTCCCAGAATAAGGAGCTGGATGGTTCTCATGCTGCATGCTGGGTAGTGTCTTAGGTCAGTCCCAAGGCAGCATGTGGCTCCTGGTGGCATAGGTAGTATATGGTGGAAGTGGGACTAGGAACGACATTGAAGTAGCCTCTGAGATTAAAACTTTGTGGACAAGAACAAAGGGAATGAGGGGGAAACACAGGCTTCCAGAAGCATCATAACAACAAATGCAAACCATGAGGAAGCCACTGAATATTTT